CATATTGAACTACTTTGTACAAGTAAGTTTATTTTTATGCTAATAAGGTGCAGATAGCGTGACTGCATAGACCCACAATAAGTTAAAAGTGTATATGCCTGTAAAGAAATGTTAAGGAAGAAATAAAATTAATTTGTTATTGTTATATGAACATGATGATATTTTCACCAGATAATTTTAAAGAATCTTCCAGTGAAAGAACAACAGTTCTGCTGTAAGCTATATTTTTAATATTTTAATTTGTTTGTTAGCAATAGGGCATAGAAGCCCGAGAAAATCTTAAGTTGACATCAAGTTTTTCCCACACATTTGAAGCTATATTATGAATATGAGATAGTTGTGAAGACTGTACAGTTATTTTTAAGATAGAGAGTTGAATCAGTCAATGTGTTTTCGTAAAGTATTTGGGTCTGTGTTTTTTATGATGCTTATTGAGTTACTTTGTAAGCTTATTTGTTTTACTTTGGTTGACGTCATTTATACTGTATACCTAGGACAAGTTATGGCAGTGAATATTCAAACTTGTAGACATGTGAGAGGAGGGAATAGAGTAATTGATTATAATTTACGTGAACTAGATTTTGAGTTATTTTTACAGAATAATTTAAAAGAACCCAGCAGCAGCAACAAAGAAAACAATGCTACAACAATATTGTATTCTCAGGATACGTGTGATCTATGTCAGTGTTGGTCAATTCTAGTGAAACATAATCTGCAGATGTCACCTGAACTACCTTTGGAGGACACTGTTGTCGACATCCTTGCACAATGTGCAGAATTATAGCAATTTTCGCAACTCATGGGCGGAACAGGTATTATCTCCTAAACCTAGAGAATGACAAAGGAACAAAAGCAGCTACAAAGAAATCAACTTAAAGACTTTCTTGATCATGTTTTATGAAACCTGCACATACACAACAAAAAGAATAAATTCATAATAAACACCATAATAATACAAGAAGATGGAAATGCACAATATATTTATATAATACGCTGTCGAACCTTCCACACTTTCTCGTATCTCTTGTACTTTGTGAAACACAAACTTGATATTCACAAAACTGAAGTAATACACAAACCGACTAATAAATTCGCTAACTCAGTATTAAAATCAGTCGTAAGAGACTTACTAATTTAATATCACTAAACCTCATTTTACGTTATTGTAACTGATGATGTGAAGTTAATCTTTTGACATTTTGTAGCCATATTTTTCTCAATCCTGATGA